AGGAGACTCGCTTGAGCCCAGGAGTTGGAAGTTGCTGTGAGCGTGATGCCATGGCACTCTACCCAGGGGGATAGCTTGAGGCTCCGTCTCAAAAAAAAGAATTCAGATGAACTAATGACAACACTTCTCACTGTTCATTTAAAGATTTTTTTTTAAAGGCAAGCACTTTTAAAAATGTATACATTATTACATATGAAAGTAAGTAACACTTCAGCACTAAACCACATCTTATCATCAAAGAATGATCTGGATAACTAGACAAAGAAAATTTAATAAGTAGATTATGGTCTAAATTCTATTTCTTAAAAATATGGACCTCTGGTCAATAAGACTCAAAGTAATTGCCTTGTTTATTTATTATGTTCAATCGACTTCATCTTTAGTAGAATTCTGATGTGACAGTAACACATCACATCAGAATTCTAAGAACGAAATATTTTAAAACAAAAATCCAACCATTTTATATGAGCATTATCAGTCATTCACGGCATCCTACAAACACACATTCAAATGATGTGATCTGGTCAATAAGAAGATAATTCCAATATCCAATTATGAAGATTCGAAACACTTTACTTTCTTTCCACAGCTAATTAGTTCTCAGCAGAAAGCACAAAGGAAAGATATATAGTTAATACATAGAGTCTAAGAACAATCTGAGAAACGTTAACCCCCATTTAAATAGAAAAGAAAATGAATATTAGATTTTTACTCTTTCAAAATGTGCTCATCTAATTAATTCAGTCTAGAAAAGTGATCCATGGAAGAATGCTATATTCTATCTTGCGAAAGTGTATTTAAGTGAGTTAAGCACTATTAAGGCCAAAATCACTATCCCATATATATTCTACAGAAATTATCATAAACGTAAAAAGCAGACAGCGGAAAGTAGTGAAAAGTCTCTGGATTTACAATCAGAAGAAATGAGCTCTGTTCCTCCAGTTTCTGGTACTAACTCCATGTGTGACTACAGGCAAGATCATTTACCCTCTCTAGAAATTGTTTTCTCTTCTGTAAAGTAAGGGGATTAGACTTATTTATCTCTATGGTTTCTATCATTTCTCAAAATGCACCATCTACCCCCCTCAAAAGAAAGAACAGGTGGACGTGGTGGCAAGCACCTATAGTCCTAGCTAATTGGGAGGCTGAAGCAGAAGGATCACTCGAGCCCAGGAGGTTAAGTCCAGCCTATTCAAGACCTTGTTTCTTAAAAAAAGAAAGAAAGAAAAACCACAAACCACTATAGGTCTTAAAATCTGAAATACAGCATTCAGAATTCCTGATAGACAGTTTATGTATTTTATATGATCAATATGAATTCATCAGTTACTTTTTTTTTTTGTAGTTTTTGGCCAGGGCTGGGTTTGAACCCACCACCCCTGGTATACGGGGCCAGTGCCCTACTCCTTTGAGCCACAGGTGCCGCCCAATTCATCACTTACTTAACTAAGAGGGCGAACGAGATTTCTCACCTGAACGCTTGTTGTCATGTAGCAAACCTCGAAGCTTACTACAAAGTTGGATCATGCTGTCCAACTGCCTGTTTATCTTCACGTCTTGTATCCAGGCCGGGGTAGAACACACCGGACACCCACTTCCAATGCAGTCACTTACACAATCACTTAAAAAGAATTAAAAAAAAAAAAAAATCCATTCAGCAGAATCTAAATTTCAAAAACATTAATAAGCAAAGTTTGAGCAGAAGTAAATGGAGCAGAGACTGCTGTACACACAATGGTCAATTGTTAAATACTTGTTAAAATGGTATGCTTATTATTTAGAGTTTTGTACACACATACAAAATCTACATCTAAAGTTCCTGATGTAATTTGGTATTAGGAGACCTTAGTCTCCAGAATTCTTCCCTGCAAACAAATCTCTAGCTTTTCACATGTGAGAATACAGGAGAGATGTAAACAGAACCAGCACCTAATGCTCAGTAGCCACATGTCCTGACCTTTTCGATACTAACCTTGAATATTCTACTTCATGGAAATACCCAAAAATCACTACAGAGACTAAAAAACACCTTTTGTTTCGCTGTTGGACAAGTGTCTAAAGGTTTTCAAGTAGTTTTTGAGAAGAGATTTGGGACAATTTTATACTCTATAAACTCAATTACCTTGGGTTATTTAAGTATTAAACTCTTGTGGTTAAAAAGGGTACTCCTAAATTTTGGGGTTACCTACCTTTTGCAAATCTGATACAAAATATACACAGTGCTATAAAAAAGAGCCTGTGGCTCAAAGGAGTAGGGCGCCAGCCTATATGCCGGAGGTGGTAGGTTCAAACCCAGCTCCGGCCAAAAAAAAAAAGAAGCAGCATTCACAATCCCTAATTTCATCTGTGAATTGAGAAATAAGGTTCCTGAAAATCTCTGAATCTTCCTTCACCTCCCCAGACAGGTTCTAGGAGGGCTGAGTAATTTAATAGTTGTAAATGACACATCTCCCCCAAAGGCTACATTCTTTGTCACGTGACCCACTCCTTTGCAGGCACAGAGGATTCTTACAACAGGAATCATCCTCAGACAAAGCATTTCAAACTTTTGTACCCTTGGCTCCCAGCATTATTCCTAACACAAAACAATCCAAAAGCAGTTGTACAATGAATTTGTAACCCATACTAGAACCCGGAGACCTTTGAGATCATCTAGTTCAATGTCAAATTTCTTTTCCAAAGGGAACTCTAATCTGGAGCCCACTGACAAAAGTGCATAGTTTCCCAAAGGGAGTCACTATAGTGACTGATATTCAACCTCAGGAATGCAGCACTTTTTCTAGGATGAGTTCATGAATTTAATTGCCAACCTTATGTGTGTGTATATGTATGTGTGTTTGTATATGTGCATGTATGTGTGTGTGCGCGCGTATGTGTGTGTATATATATATATATATAAAAACTCAAGCCATACTTACCTACAAAAGATGTGTTCACACCCTCCTAAGCACACAGGGTCCTTCAGAATATTAGTGCTATTTGGAGAAATGAAAATGATCAAGCTTAGGTCATTGTTAGATAAACGTTTCACAAATCCCAACATTTCATGCCCCAAATTTCACAAATCCAAAGCCCAACACAACCATAGTTCCCTCTTTCTCAAAGCAAAAGGTATCAAGGATGTATTCATTTGAAAGACCGTCACTCTTTGGTTAGATACTATATCATTACATCTGCTGAACTGAAATAGCAATTACCAAACTCAGCTCAAGTTATAACATAGTTTATGTACATATAATGCATTTGCTGCTTAGTTGGGGAAATAAACAACTCAGTCCCTTTATTTAAAAAATCTGTTCAATAAAATTTGGATTCAGTTAAAAGGCTGCACTGAAGGATCCAGAAGACCACATGTGGTCCCACAGTTGCAGGAGCCCCATCCCAAATGGTTCAAAGTATAGACCATGCATCTCAAAATATGACCTACAAGAAAGACTATATAACATCCTGTCCAACTGAAAACATTTCTGAGAGTGAAGGGGGTCATACTGGATGCTGGGGCAACAGGTGTAAGCCAGCGCTGCCCCTGGCAAACCAGAATATCTGGTCACCCTGACCATAAGAGTCTATGGTTTCCCATAAGAAGGTATGTATTTCTTGCTATTGTTAAGTAGCTGCCTGTTTTTCATAGATGTTTTGTTGAAAGTATGGCCATTCTTTCAGTTCACAGGAAGTTGATTGTTTTGTTCTTTAAGACTGCAAATAGAAATCATCGAGCTGGCAGTCTGCAGACTGAACGAGATTCACTGCACTGAGGAAAGAGAGACAGAAACCAAATAATCCCAATGTCATCCATCAAAATACCTGCTACACTTGATAGTCCTAAGAAGGTACTGACACTTACTAATAAATGCACCTTAAGTCATCATACTCAGCGGATGTAACATAGACAGAGGAGAGCAGAGAAGTAAAATCTTACAGAGGAAGAACATTTTGTGTGCTTGGTTTATTACACTAACCCTGGGACCTTTAGGAGATTATACCATTATTATCCAATTACCTCTGTACACATACCACATATCAATAAAAATAGTTCTCCACATTTCTTGAAAGATCAAAAAGTACTACACTGCACATTTTAATAGATATGAACATTAAAGTGAAATTGAGCTTTTCAGAACGAGCACTAAAGCAGTACACACCTACAGTGTTATTCTCATGATACCGAAGACGGTGCTCACTGACATTATAAAACCCATTACTCTCTAAAAACTCACCATATTTGATTTTCCTATCACACTATGTAGAACATACTGATAAAAATACAACTTTTTGTGATTCTGGCGATTAAGATGACCTGTCTTTTAACATCCAACTGGCCCTATAACATTCTGTTCATCGTTTGACCTATAAACCCAACCTCCTCTTTCCCAATCAAGTGTGTTGAATTCTACTTCACTGCAAGCTTTGCCTCTAAGATCTCAAAAGTGGTCTAATCTCACCTCCTCTCACCACAGTATTCTTCCTCCTTCTTTTATTACATCCTCATGGCCAAATCTCCATCGTCAGGTTGCTCTCCAGTGGGCCTCAGAGGGGCCCACTCAGTGCCAAGCCAGAGTTGACCACTTCAGAGCCACCTTCGCCACTCCCCCAATCCAGCGAACTGCTCAGACACTCACGGATGCCAATCTATAATGCTGTCTGGGCCTCACAGTAGAATTCTTCTTGCTTACTCAGGCCAGGAGTAACCAGTAGAAAAAGAAAGATGAACAACCTAGTCTCCACGAATGTATTAACCTCTTCACCTTGGTATCTGAACCGAAGTGACGCTCCATGTGCACCACGAGCAAACAGGCAAATAAACGGCCACTCAGCACAATCTCCATGCCCCCAAATCTCAGGAACCTTACTAGAGCTAAATGGCATGAGCCCGTCACCACCTAAAGACATTCCTACCTCTTCACCAGTCTCAGAGGAAAGGTGTCCTTCAGCATTCTTGCTGTGTGCTGTTCTGTCCCTGCCCCCTAAGTACCTGATTCTCACCCTGCCTTCTACCTTCCATTTGCATTTATTACACACGCAGAGGTGGTCTGGCCTTCAACCTAAGAGAAACACTGGCTCTTGATACTGCCTTCCCATCTACCTCTGCCCATCACTCTTTTTACTTAGACAGATACAACTTCTTTTTTTTTTTGCGTTTTTTGCCGGGGGCCAGCACCCTACTCCTTGAGCCACAGGCGCCACCTGAGATACAACTTCTTAAATAAGTGCTCTCTACCAGCTAACTCTATCTCTTTACCTCCCTGGCCGTAATTCTCACCACTCGGCTGAAACTGCTGTCCAAAACATCTTTGGTCCTCCTGCTCCCTCACCCCTCTGTGAAGGAGCAGGGACTTCACCTTCCTTCCTTCCACTAAGCTGTAGGGTTCAGACAGCACACCGATCTGCCTGTTTCAGCATCTCCTTAGCGGCTCTACCTTTGCCTACCTTTGCAGGTAGGTGTACCCCAGGAGGCAATCTGCAGCCCTCTGGGCTTCTCCCGCAATACTTGACTCAAGGCTTTGACTCTGTATCTGAACTTGAAATTTCCTTCCTGAGATGGCTCTGGACTCTTTACCTATAGTTCTTACCCTTCACCCTAGCAATAAAATGTTATCATATAATTAGCAATGGTTTAAGATCTGTGAATAATTGATCAATTATACTAATTATTCTAAGGAGTGAGCTAAAATATATATCTTCTTGTCATTCATGAATAAAAAAAGACACTGGAAATGTGAAAGAGAGGGCGTGTGCATGTGTG